TGGAGTCCCTGGATCGAGTCCCGCATCGGGCTCCCTGCTCAGCGGGGAGCCTGCTTCTCCCTCTAACCCTTCCCCCTCTCGTGTACTCTCTCTCTCTCTCTCATTCTCGCTCTCTCAAATAAATAAATAAATCTTTAGCAAAAAATAAAACAAAAAAAACCAAAAACACATGAAGAGGACAAGAGCGTCCTTGCAAAAGCAGGCAGCATGTGGTGAGGCCCCAAAAACACAAAGGAGAACCTGCCACATTTCTAGAAGCAGGGGAACCTCATGTAGCTGGAGTGTGCAAGGCATGGGAAGGAGTGGCAAGGATGAAAATCAGAGACACAGAGGTAGCTCACAACGTGCAATCTGTATAAACCTGTCAGAGAATTTCTGTTTGATTCTGTAGGCAGTGGAGGCAGAATGTGAAATGCTGGTGAGAAGGGGCAGAGACAGGAGGGAGCAGTGGCCGAGGGACATCTTAAGGTGAAGGGAAGTTTGTTGTTGTTTTAAGGTAGGAGAGAATTTATTCGTTGTAAGTGCTGACAGAAAGGAGGTAGCTGGAAGAGGTGGAAGATTCAGGAAGAGCGATCTCTGAGAGAAGGTGTAAAAGTGTATGACTGCAGAGAAGTATCTAGATGATGGTCTAGGTGGGTTTAGATACAGTTTCTAGAAAGGACTTCAAAGACCTTTCCACTTGTTGGACTCTGTTTTCTCTGGAGTAGATGAGGTCTTCTACTGAGCTGGAGGTGGTGATGGTGATACTAGAAGTTGCATTCACTCCACAGATTTTTATTGAGGGCTTGCTTTATGGGGATGGTAAGTGACATAATAGGATTCTTGCCCTCATGGGGCCTCTGTCTAGTGGGAAAGACAGGCCATGAAGCGATGTATTACCCAGTTGTTGAATTGCGACTTTTAAGTATTGGGAAGATAGACAGGATGCTCTGAAAACCTAAAAATGAGAAACATGATCGACAGGGTCGGGACAGTCTTGCAGACTTGCTTGAGGAAGATCTGTTTGAGCCAAGCTCTGACATTTCAGAACTCGCTGGGGCTCCAGATGAAGGAGGGAACTTGAGCAAATGCTTCGAGGCAAGAGGATGAGGCAGGGACCGGTCACCTGGAGCCTTGTAAACTGTGTGAAGATTTTAATCTTTTTCGGAAGGGCCTCTGGAAACTACATTTCCAAGAATGTTAAGCAAGGGAGTGACAGGATCAGAATAGCTCCTTAGAAGGACCTCTGGCTGCTGGTGATGGGGGGTTAAGGTGGCTGTTGAGCAGGTGTGGGGCAGCTGAGGTGAGGAGGCTGGTCCTGGGGAGGAGGTGAACATGGCGGCGCCCTGGACTAGGGTGGCAGCAGCGGCAATCAAGATGGTAGACCTGCAGGCTATTTAGGAGGTAAAATTGACAGCCTTTGGCAATTGTTTGACAGTAGGGGGTATGTAAGCCAGCTGGTGACTCCCACATGTGGCTACAGAGGAATGGAGCATTGCAGTTACCATCGTGGGGATGTGAGAAATACAGTAGATAGGAGAACGTGGAATAATTGCCAGAGAGTGTGTAAGTCTAGTTTGTTCGTGGAGAGTAGGAATGTATGGCAGGACTGCTCCAGGGCTGCCTGGGTTTTCGGCACGCGTCTAGGTGTGGGGAGGGGCTGCGGGATTGATCTTAGACTGGAGGTTTCCTTGGCAAATGTGATAGAAGTACAGTGTGTAAGAGATTTGAGAGTATTAGCAAAATAGGAGACATGATGGCCCATGGAAGTGAAGGCATGAAGGGCTGCTAGATAAGAAGGAAAGAAATGAGAAAGCACTAGAGGTCCTTGCGACAGTAGGTGTGGGAGGCACAACCGAATGACAGATCTCAAGGGATCAGAGATCTAAGTCCTATCGGAAAGTTTGAATTTAATATTTCAGTAGTGAAAGAGCTGCTGGTGATGGCAGAGTCTCGAGGTCAGCCCTGTGAGTGGTCAAAGCAAAGTAGAGAAGAAGGTCGTTCGAGACTCGGAGTCAGGGAGGTTAGAGGCTGGCATTTTGAAGGATATTCATGTGAATGCTGAGCTCACCCAAGGGGATGGAAGGAATTGAGGTGCAGAGGATGACAAGAGCCAGGGGCTAATGTCTCAGAACAGTGGCTCTCGACAGGGGCGGCACTGCCCCCTGGGAAGCATATGGGCATTTACTCTATTTTTATAAAGTCAGAATGGCTGAGGGGGCCAGGAATGTAGACGTGCCATTTCTGTGGAACACTGATCCGACCTGCATCCCACATACTCTCGCAGAGTGTATGGTCAGGGTGCCAGGGCAAGGCCCTCTGTTTGTAGTAAACATTCAGGGACCAAACAGATCAGCATAGGGTAGGGTGTCAAGATAAGAGGTCTCCCTTCTGGGACAATGAAGCACTATCCCATCCCATATATCTTTATGCTATACTTATATGTAAAGTGAGGGTCATTTGCAAAAGTATCATTTTCTTCACTTTGATAGTCTTGACCTGTTCTCTCTATTTCATCTGAGGCTGTTTCCCCCTTCCCTTATCATATTCCAAAAAGTCTCCCCTTTGGGGCTTCCATTTTCAGGTAGCACCTTTGGGCTTCCATTTTCAGGTACTTTCTCATATGGAATGGTTCCTGAGCTTATTACTCTTAAATCCAACCATATTATAGGTGGGTACAAACATCTGACATCATTAGGTTTTCTAGTCATGTCCAAGCATTTACATATTGAAATACATATTTTATTATAAGTACTTTTTTGTCTTTCATATATTACAATGAGGGCATTTTATTAATTTGGAGGGCTAGTGCGTTACATTGGCTCCGAATTCCATTTCAGGGCATAAATGGGATATTACAGAGTATTTACTATAAAAAGGGAGAGCTGAGCCCCAGGGAATTGGTACTTGACAGCAGTTCCTGGAAAGATTAGTGAGTGACCAGCAGTGGGGGGGGGGGGGCAAGGGAGGGGCCCTAAAAGTGTCAGCAAAGCAAGGAAGGCACAGCCTCCCAACTCCAACCTTCATCTTCACTCACACTTTTCCCTCCACCCGGGATGCCCACCGTTCTCTTCTCCGTCCACCTGTCTGTTCTTCATTGTCCAGCATAAAACCTTATTCTTCTCAAAGCCCAGAACAGGAAGTAGGCAAGGGAATGAACACGAATGCCTGGATTCACGGATTCCTCCCAAGAGAGGGAGCGTGATTACTTTCCGAATTAGCATGAAGTCTAATCGAGGTTCAAAGATGTTAACTTTGTCTGTGACGTAGTCCCCCCGGGCTGCTGTGATGACATACCACAGCCGGGGTGGCCTGTCCACAACGGGAATTGACTTCTCACAGTCCTGGAGGCTGGGCAGTTGGTGGTCAGGGTGCCAGGGCAAGGCCCTCTGCCAGGTCACACACATCTGGTGTGTCCTCACGTGCTGGAACTGGAGGGAGCTCTGTGGAATCTCTTTTTATAAAAGAGCACCGATCCCTTCCCGAGGGCTCCAGCCTCATGACCTAAGCACCTGCGCAAAGCCCCACCTTCTACCACCTTGGGCGCTGGGGTTCCAACATGTGAATTGGAGGTGGGGGGCGCACCCATTCAGACCCCGGCACCCAGCATCACCAGGAGAAGGAGTAGTGAAGAGGGGACTCTAACCCAGGGCAGTCTGGGCCTGCAGCTTGCCTTCTGCCCAGCACATGCACCACCATTAAGTGGACCCTGACGGCAGAGACGCTAGCCATTCGGGACTTCTGACCTTCTAACTTGTTTTCTGACTCCTACTTGGAAGTGCTTTTTGTGTTGCCCCTAGTCTCATAATCGTTTTGTGTGACTCTGTCCACCCAGTTAGTTTCTTTGAAGGCAGAGTTCACTTTTGTTCGCTACAGCATCTACAGTATGCCTTGTCCATGGTGGGTGTTTAATCTGTATACACAGCCTGCTTTAAACACCTAAGGCTTGTGCCAGTTTTCAAACGCTTAAGGACCCACTGAAAACATAGTGTCACGAGAGTTACCTTGACCAAGGTACATGTGGCGGATCATTTTGCAAATTTAAAACACATCATTAGATTTGGATCAAAAATACAATTAACGTTCAAAGATGTTCTTTTATTAAGCTCTAAAAATGTTTGAAATTGAAATGACTCGTGCCCAGACTCTGAACTCTACTTTTTCAGGCGTACGTACATTTTTAGGCTCTTCCAGATACCATCACTTGGTAATACATAGTCAGATACTCTTGAGTGTGTTTCACTGAAAACATAAATATTTCTCATCTTTTTAATAGAAAGGCAGGGATTTAAATTTTGATATTAAAAAAGCAACAAACGAACTAGCTTTTCCTTAGGTACACCTTAACTCGAGATACTCTTTACTTGGGATGCCAAGTGGGGTCCATGTTCTCTGTCTTAGGGATCCAGGTGAACTACAGACGTGTGTATGTGGTGTTTTGTTGTATAACGCATTTATATTCTCTTGTTTTTCAGGTCCTGTAGGAGTAGGTCTGAATGAACTGAAACGAAAGCTGCTCATCAGCGACACCCAACACTATGGTGTGACAGTGCCCCGTAAGTTCCCTGCACCCCCGGTAACAATCGGTCAGCACTGATGAAAGATGGGTGGTGCCCGACACGGTTCCAGGCGTTCAGCCTCTGGCCCCACAACAGCCCTAGCAAGTATGCAGCAACACTCTCCATTTTTTACAGTGGAGGAAACTGAGGCATGGGAGTGAAGGGGTTGCCCCAGACTGCAGAGACTGTTGGCGGGACGTTTGTTAATCACGGCTTCTCTACTCTCAGTTTTTATGGTAAATTTTAATACGCATGTGACACTAAATTAGTATTTACAAATTTTCTCCTAGATAAAAGCCTGACTCTCCTACTTCCTAAAATAGGTGCTAATGTTTTCCAGAGATTTTCACCAGGTTTAAGATCAGAAGGACCAAACCACAGAGAGCTGAAGGAGGCCTCTTCTAATAGAAGCCTTTCTTAATTACTTTTTATATGTAGTAATTGGCAGATGGTGTTAAATGGGCCTTTCATGGCCATATAATCCAAATACGGTGGGCTTCTTTTCAGTATACAGAATTAGATCTATTTTTATAAAAGAGGTTTTCATAGGCTTTCTTACAAGTGAAATGTGATGCTGGAAGCATTTTGATCTCCAGAATAAATGCCACTTGACTACTTAATATGTTGATGTTAGAAAGCCGTCTAAAAGGCTAAAATTGAAATGTTGGCTTTTTCAAGTGGTTTTGGTCCTATTAAAAACAACACAAAACACACAACTGTTTGTATATGGCCCTGAGCAGTGTTCTCTAGTTTTAGAAGACTTCAACTTTATTTTAAAGTTATAGTTTTCTATTACCTCAAGTTACTCCTTGTTACTGCATTTTTCCAAATTATTGTTCATAATCATGTTCAGCCATACGTTACAGGGCCCTTGGTTTCCACCAACAGAGATGAAAGGAAAGGAAAAATGTGGAAATGTGGAATTAAACTGTGTTTTTTTTCTTTAACTTTAATTATTCACTTCTCTTGCAAAAGCTGGCTTGCAATATATGGGTAATTCGAGAATTTTACAAAACAATTGTCAGTCTTACAGGGGAGTAGTTACAAAGCACCTGGAGGGTGGAAAAACGGATTACAAAGGGAAAAAAATGCATGTATCAATTTCCTACTATGTATTCATCTCCTTTGTCTTAATTTATTTCATCGTCCCAACCACTGGGCGACATCTGCCTGCCACAGAGGAGGGAAGAGAAAGGCTATGGGACTTACTCAGAGTTGTACTCGTCGCAGTTGCATGCACCATGCTTCCACTTTTCATGTCCTTCCTCCTATACAGCACTACACAGTCTTTTCCAACTACAGATGCTCTTTATTGTCGCATAGTTAGTAATAAACATCAATTTATTTGGAAGATGATAAATACCAATAAGGCTGTCTCTGAAACATACCCTTTATGGTAGTTTTGGTGTTACTCAAGGACCTCGGGCAATGTACTTGGGCCTCAATCTGTCCAACACTTCAGATAATATCTGTCTCTGAGGTTGTTATAGAAATTGACAATATCCAGAAAATCTATTTTATATATCCCAAGCGACTCATAACACTGGACATTTTGGGAAGATAACAGCCATAGCATCAACTCAGGATGATTTCATTAATTACAGAAGAATATATTTTAAGACCAGTGTTGGAATTTTAGATTGTTTTCTCCAGGTAGAGTCTTGATTATCTAGAGAAAAATTATTGCTTTGATTATTCCACCAGTATTCTGTTCGATGTTTAACTATAAATCTTTCCCCAAAATGCACTAAATCTCCACCAGAATGGGTAAGTTTTTGAAAATGATGTGGAGCAATGAAACTCTCACACATCGCTGGTGGAAGTGTAAATTAATTTCACCCACTCTGGAAAACTAAGTGGCAGTATCTACTAAGGCTGAGTGAGCATCTACCCCATGACCCCTCGATCCCACTTAGTACGCAGCCAACAGAGATGCACACAACATGCACTCAGATAGTCTTAGAAACGTTATTCACAAGAGCCCCAAACTGGAAATGACCCAAATGCCCAGCAGCAGTAGACTGGATAGGTACGTGATGGTATATTCACACAACGGAAGACGCAATGCACAATTTGCTACTACAGTGCAGCAATATGAATGAATTCCCCAAACATGTTCAGCGAGAGGAGGCAGACACGAGAGAGAATATGCAGTATGACTCCATGTTTACAAATACAATAAAAGCAGTGCTGAGGTGCTCTTAGAAATCGTGAGGAAGGTGGGTTGGAAGGGTGGTTCTGGAGTGCTGGAGATGTTCCGTTTCGTGGTGGAGTGCTGCTTACCCGGGTGTTTTTGATCTGTGAAAACTCATTACGCTTATGTGTGAACTTTTCTGTGTATCATACTTCAGGGTTTTGAATGTTAAAAAGAAATACTTGGTACTTTAGTTCACTGTGGTTTGCTGATGTCGATTTGCTGGTCTCGACTGCACTACAGTTATGGAAGATGAACACCTTCCTTTATTGGAGAAAACTGAGTGATAGTCACATGGGACCTTCTCTAAGCTGTTTTTGCAACTTATTGTGAATCTATAATTATTGCAATTTTAAAAAATTAAAGGGATGCTAAATGAGGTAAATACTGTCGCTCTCGGGCTAAAATGGCAGAACAAATTATATGATCTTTACAAAATATCTATGTTGCCACGTTAAACATTCCAAGTTGCTTTTAAGGAAGGTGGTGGCCGGGGCCCGTTTTCTGCTGGTTTGCTTCTTTGTGGCAAATTTCATCCTCGATGAGCAGCGTCAACACTGTTTTAAGGCATTTAAGTCATTATCATCAACAAATTTAAATGACTATTAATGTAACCAGTCTTTCAAAAGGCTGTCTCAGTAAATTAAAGTAGTTAACAAAAAGTGTTGCATTGATCTATGTGAGTGCTGTGAATTGTGTAAGACTGATGAATCACAGACCTGTACCTCTGAAACAAATAATACATTATAGGTTAAAAAAAAGAAGAAGAAAATAGTAGGAAGGGAAAAATGAAGGGGGGGAAATCGGAGGGGGAGACGAACCATGAGAGGCTATGGACTCTGAGAAACAAACTGAGGGTTCTAGAGGGGAGGGGGGTGGGAGAATGGGTTAGCCTGGTGATGGGTATTAAAGAGGGCACGTACTGCATGGAGAAGTGGTGGGTGTTATACGCAAACAATGAATCCTGGAACACTACATCAAAAACTAATGATGTAATGTATGGTGATTAACATAACATAATAAAATAAAATTTTTAAAAAGTGATATTAAAAAAAAAAGTATTGCAGTAGATGTCAAAGACTTGATGAATTGATTCCAAAGTCTTTCTAGTCTGTAATTTGGGCACTCACAGTCAGCCACACTTGTTAATCACTTTGTGGTTTCTCATGAAGGCATATATCACAGTTATATGATTTCATAGGTTTCAAGGAACTCGTGTTCGGTAACACTTCTTTGTCCATAGAAGACCCCAGTTGGGATTTCTAAAATATATATATAAAAATTAGGGCACCAATTAAAAAAATTTTTTTTTCTTATCTCACCATGGCCATTACTTGGGAATTTTGTTGGAAGCAGGGGAAGAGGATAGAGTTGGAGTTTGTCTCATATTTGTTTGAGGTTTGTCTTACACTGTAAACATAGTGGGTACTCAGTGAACTATAGTGAGGTAGTGGCCTGCATTGTGGTTAGTAAGTCCATCTTTCCCTTTGAGTTCCCTGGAGAATTTCCAGATCCCTTATTCAGGATTCCTCACTGTGAATGAGTTTGTGAGATTTCTGTGGTCCCTCAGTGCAATAAACACAAGAATTCTTCAGTGGTAAAGTTACATCAGGCTTGGTTAATTTGGGGTGCTTGTGATAAGCAAACACTCTGACTGTAGATATGTCCACTTTTAAATGAGTTTAGTAGTGTCATAAATGTCTTGTTCGCTCGATGTAGTTCTACTTTTAGCCCTCCCTAGGGGACTCCGTATGTCAGGGCCGTGATCCTTAAAACTGTGTGGGCTACATTTGCAGTGTCCTGCCATTACAGTTGAAGAAAGGAAACCTTTTCTCAGTTCGCCAGAGACCAGTTAATGCACATAAAATTCTCAGTTTTGATTTTCACCAATACATTTTTATGAAGCTAACTATTTGCCAAACGAACACCAGTAAACAAAACGAAGCTGTTGAAGTAATAAATGAATATTAACCCTAAATTCGAAAGCAGGGCATCATACTAATTTTAATAGCTTTTAAACTCTTGGATGCATATTATGTTATATGCACATGATAGAGTTTATTTCTATTGTGAAATTCATTCTTAGCTTTTATGATAGAATTAAATTTATTAGTATTTCATGCTATTCCTGCAGAGGGTGTATCACCTCATAAAAAAATAGCATAACTTCCTGGTGCTTTAAGATCAGAAATATGAAAAACTGTTTCAAGAGATCTGAATGTTGTGTTAAAATATACTTGGTAACTAAAAGTCCATTAAAATTTTAGATATAATTTAAATTAATCGGGTTTTATAAATCCATTCCTTTTTGTATTGAGGTACTTTTTCCCACTTCCCTCAGTTTTCCTTTTCTATACTACTAAGATATAATTGAAATAAATAAGCTGCACATATTTAAAATGTACAATTAGATCAATTTTAATATACATAGACACACATGAAATCATCACCACAATCAACATAATGAACATTTCCATCTCTTCAAAAAATTTCCCCATGCGTTTTGTAATCCATCCTTCTACCTCTGGCTTTGGGCAACCATGAATCTATACTCTGAAACTATAGATTAGTTTGAATCATCTAGCACTTTATATAAATAAAATTATACAATATGTTCCCAGATTCTTTTTGCTTGGCTTATTTCACCCAGCATGAGTTTGAGATTCACCGAGGTCATTTCATAAATCAACAATTCATCCTTTTTCATCACTCAGTGGTATTCCACTGTATAGAAATTCTATAATTTATTTATCCATCCATTTACCTGTTGATGGATACTTGGGTTACCCCCATTTTTTGTTAT